ATAATATTTTTTACATCGACGTGTTGCAATCTACGTCTCTATAATAAGTTGCAATCTCTAATAACCTCCACTCTAATCTAAAAACAGCAATCTACGCTCAAGTGACAAAAGCGAGTGTGTCACTGTATTCGCTGATGCTATCGCAGTGAGTATAAACGCACAATAATCTTACTTTCAAAATTGTTTTGTTGTTAAAGAAACTAATCGCATAAATTAATATGCATTGATACAGTTTCTTAGAATACTGTCTGACCTTATTCGCTCTATTCAGATGTAAAAAAAGACATTTCCTGACAATGCGAAATGTATGAAAGAATTACGTGGAAGCTACGTGTCGGCTGTGCGTTATGTAACATCGCTCGCGCCAGTAAAATTATGCAGCTAAACGAAATCTGAATCGTCGCGCACACGTCGTGCAACACGGTCGCACGGTGAAACACGTATCTTTGACACGTGTCGCTCGGACGTGATGGAGTGATGATGATATAATTCATCTTGATACAGTGACACAAGACCTCACATATCGGCCCTAACATCGTATAGATCGATACGATCGTATAATAAATGTCGTTATCTACCACATCTACGATGGATAGTAAATGTTACGCTACATGAGAGGAAGGCAACTAAAAAATCACACAATTTATTCGTAAAACTCGTAATATAAAAACAATTATTTATTAGTAATAAGTATAATCTTCGAAGCGGACGTGGCTTATACAGTGTCAATATCGTAATAGGTCACGAATTTCATTGCGTTGATAGACCAGTGCTGAGTTCATTTCGGATCAAAGAATTTTCTGTAAACAGCATTGGATTCACGCAACTTGAACGCGCTATATCGATCGTAGAGGAATCACGCGATTACTAAATCCACTTATTATTTCGACTTGTAAACGGGTCAACTGATAATGCTCAAGTTCCTTCTGCGATTCTTGCAACGCCAGTCCCCTTGATACATTGAAATTAGATACGAAAAGAGCCAAAAATAGTATTTCTTTAACGATGGGCTTGACTTACCGTGCACTTTTCTTACGGCGACCAAGCTATTGCGCATAACAAAGGATAAATGTCGCTGGAAGTGTATCTCGTACGTTTCTAATGAAAGAAAGCACCATGCAACATACGCGAAACGCTCAAGGAAAGTCTGACAGTGTGCATATGTCGATATAAAAAGACGAGTTCAAAAAACATTTGTAAGCATACAGTGGAATAAGCCTTGAGATCGGGAAGTTTCCTATTATCATAGCATGAGATACATCCGCAATAATTGTGAATATCATGATCGTGAATGTCCGTCTGTCACTTGCTTAAAGACCTCATCAACAATTAAAATGATAAAAATCACATCTGTTAGACATCATTTACTCGTGACATGTTGGACACGTTCAATGAACCCGCGAACGATATTGATCTAATCCTCGGACGCCAAGGCGCGCCTAAAACGCAACCCGGCGTACGTGGACGCGTGGCGAGACAGGTATGTCTGATTCAATATATCAATGCGGGATTGAGATAAGAGCCATTTAAAAATTCAAAATGGCATGACACAATCAGGATGACGATTTAAGAAAGCTTATCAATGTTTTCGTATATTATCAATATGAGAAAATGTTGACGCAATAATAGGAAATACTCTCGAAATTTACGGACGATGACGAAGAACATGACAATATATTGCCAAATATTTTTGATATATTAACCGTCCTCGAAGAATTTTATTTATCGTTTGTCTTCGCTTGCGTTATACTTAAATACTCTTATCCCGAAAAGAGCGCACAAAAATAACACTCGATAAAAGATACGGACATATCGTTGTTAAAATATCACTTTCTCCCTCGACGAGGTAACTCAATTTACAGACAAAGTCTTAAATCGAGAAGGAAAACTTGGTGTCGAGTCGCATCGATGCGTCAGCGTGTCTTCGTTCACAATGATATGTCATTAGCCTATATTGAGTGGCCGTTTTTATTGCGACAAAGAAATGGAATTTTACGTTTTCGTTAATTGCGTAATTAATTATTTGCGATCTAATATACGATATCTTTTGGTGGCAAATGCGTGAGCGAAGACATGTCGATTCAACGTCGTGTTACAACATCGAGACTTATTATAAACCACACGTCATAAACATAAATGATACGGCGTGTTTGTAAAAAAAGTCAACGCATACAATATTTCTCCGTGACACTTGACGCCACCGACGAATGATAGCTCCTTCCCGCAACCCGCTAAATTCCGCCGCCATATGAAAAGAAGCGAGTTAACGAATTTATCGTCGCGTGGCCTGATGTCACTCTCGTGTGATGCAAACGAGATAAAAATCACTTCCCTCACCGCCTGCCTACCCCAGTGAAAAACAACGTATACTTTCGTTCGTGGTGCAAAAGCCAGCGATGACGCGTGCTGCATATAGTCTGTGGATTACAAAATCTTCAAGTTTGTAGAAGCCGCAGGTTATCGTGTGAGTGCAAGTAGCTAATATTTTTACATACACGAAGGGAATATTGTTCTTTTTTATATAAATTCTTTTCAATTTTATTATGTATCTAGTAATGCAGAAATATCAGCAAAGCTTGTCTTGCTAAGGAACATAGTCAATCTCACTGAGAACATACACTGAAAAAAAAAGTTTAGATACTCGTAGCTATAATCACATAGAGAAATAATTACTATAAATTATGGTCAAGAAAATCATTTTTTTTTTTAATTAAATTCTACTATAATGTCAGTGATAATAATATTATATGCATATTTCCATTAGCATTTTTTTTACAAAAATGCAATAGAGATTAAAAGTAATTATAATTTTAGTTAGATTTTTTTCTTACTATAGCAAATTCTTAACAATACACATTTCAGTTTCTAAAATATAAATAGCACATATGAAGAGAGTGCTGAAAGGTCCGTTACTGCAGAATATCAATCTATTTCTCGGCTATAAAATTCTGTAATAATTTTTACTATAGAATTCTCTCCATCCGCGTTATAGGAAAAGTCCACGTGGAAAGAGATCGCGCGTCGCAAAGATCTACTTTAAAATCTTCTTCGAAATGCTCGCGATGATAAATTTGCAACGTGCTATTCATTAATTTATCGTGCATATAGATCACCATCGTTAAATAAACGAATTTAAGTGTACGATGTATTTGTGATAATGACTGATAATACCTCGAGTGCCGGACGCTGTATACTGATTATCACTACTGTCAACTTTAGCGGGAATTAATCAATTGTGAGCTTTACTTTCGTAAAACGTGACTTGTGACGTCATTTATGAACCAGAATGATCAACAGTATTGATTGTGTTACATATTGCATCATGTTTCTCTACGAAGAATGTTACGCAAATAACTAACGTGTCATAAAAAAGATCGTTAAAATTCATTGAATTTTTCACCTGCTCTTAGCTCTGTTTTCATTTTCTGCAGATTTATAACTATATTTTTATCACGTAAGATTTTAAGCAATGCAAACCCAGCTATTGTATTTTTCAATGGGAAAGGAACGCATCCTTTGTGCGCTTCACTCCGCATTTCCATCGTTTTGAAATGACAGACGAAACTGTAAATTTCTAAAATGCAGTTTCTGGAAAAGTAGTGAAATATCTGTATCATTTTTTAATATCACATTACATCTGTCAAATCCCCTCTTTTAAGACTCTGTCGTCAATACTGGACGATATATAAAAGTGATCGCGAATTACGCACGCTTACAGTGTATTTTTGACGTCTTTGAAAGCGCGAACGAGAGTGTCGGGTGACGATAGCGTTATTGCGATTAAGTTCACAGTTGGAGTTTCCATGTGTTTCCATGATCCATGATTTCACAAGTACGCGATTCAGTTTTCTGAAGCTGTGTCGGAAAAACACGACAATTGATCGAATCGACACGAGATTTTGTTAATTCGGAGACGAAAAAACGACACGTGCGAAATAACGCTCTGATAATCACACGCTGGTGTCATCGGTAAGGACCTCATGGATCGGGCTCATACATTTGCATTTGCATCCTCATCGATATTGAATGCCGATCGTCTTATACGCGATAATATTGCGCGCAATTTTTCACGTAAAATGAATATCCAATTTAATACAAATGATCATATTGGACGTTAAACACGTACTCTGAGTATATACACTGAAAAAAAATACTTAAAAATTTACTAGTGTAGTATATAAAGTTTGTTCTTGAAATAAAATGTATTTCTATGAAAGAAACTTTTATCTCACACACACAAACAGATTTTTCTTTCTAAATGTTTCTTTCTGTAAGTGTAATAAGTCACTTTGAACATGATGAAATATTGAAAGCTTTGAGCACAAAATATCGTTGAACGAATAAAGTAGCAAATAACGCGTATTCTCGTGACAGTATCATGTCGATAAATAAGCAAAAACATTACTACGTGATAAATTACAAAACCTACTATCGTAGCGTTATCATTGGATATTTTCAATTTTGTTTTCGAGAAGCTCGACCTTATAATTGAAAATTTCTATTACAAGTCATCTGGTCGTTTGATACGCAACGTTCGAATCGTGTTCATTATCATGGTCGTATTATTTGACAGTTATGTATTTGCAGAATAAATCATTCGTATCGAAATCGTTTGATACCCGCACGAAACAGGACGCGGCGACGCGTGTGGCGCGCGACATGAAAAGCGACGCGGGGTAGCAATCTCAAATACTCCGTTACGTATTTATTATTTGCGAGAGAGCGAAAGAGATGATATATCGGCGTATAGTGTTTCTTTTTAGTGCGCGGCATGCCACGTCGCCGTGTTCTAACGCGTGAAAGCCGTCGAACTTAGCTCGCTGTAATCCGCGTTGCATCCGCCGCAGAGACGAACACGTGGGCGACGGAGTGAGGAGATAGACGGAGCCGGCGGTTTTTCGAATTTCGCGCTGGTCACGAACGGGCGGGTCATGTGACTAACGGAGTCGGCCGAGGGCGCGAGCAGCCGGACCGAGGTTATAAATAGTGGGTAGCAGCGCGCGGGGAACCTCTTTTACTCGCCACAACGCGTCGCGTTGCGTCGCGCTCGCTTCGTCTCGATCATTACGCGGTGTGCCGTGTGAGTGTGAGAAACTCAGTCCTCTCGCGTTTCGTCTTCTCACTGTCTTCTGTCCCTTTGTCTCGTTCCGTCTAATCTCATCGATCTCTACGGTCTCGTACGACACGCACCAACGAGGTATTGTTCACTCGCAGCAATACACAGAAGAGCGCGCGTAACGCGGCGACAAGACGTTCCTCTCTCTCTCTCTCTCTCTCTGTCTTTCTCTCTCTTTCTCTCTCTCTTTTTCTCTCGAATAAGGCACGTGTAAGAACTCGCGACTTGAGCGGACAGTTCGAGAGTTCAGCCAGAAAACGACGAGTGAACGTTGCTGCTACTGCTGCGAGCGAACTTCGAGTGGCAAAGAGTACCACGGAATCACGACAACGGCGGCGACGAGCCCGAAACGTAGGAAAATGCCGGAAACCGCGCACCACATGAACGGCTATGCGAATGGTCATACGCCGCCTGAGCTGCAACAGGGCACTACTTTCCTGTTCACCTCGGAGTCGGTCGGCGAGGGACACCCAGGTGAGGTTTGCTTTTTTTAGGTTTAGTTGGCGTACCTTGCATTGTCGGTCGAACTAGCTTTCTTTTTCCCTTGCACTCTAACGTTTCTCCCTCTCTCTCTCTCTCTCTCTCTCTTTCTATCTCTCTCGTACCGAAGCTAGCGCTATGCGTTGCGTGCGCCGCCATGGATGGGAAGATCATCTTCGTGATCCGGCGCGCACCACGGCTACCGTAACGTGCTACTCGTTTGTCAGTCTTTTCTTTCGACAACCCTTCGACCCATTAAACGCTAATCCTGCTCGGCTGGGGTTATGTTCCAGAGAACGAGGATGGCGAATCTGCGATTTTTTTCTCGATTCTTGCTCGTCCGTCTCGCTTTTCTTCTCTTTTCTATTCACTAAAATTCAGCTACATCGAATGCGCATTGCACGCTCTCGGTTCTGTTGCGGCTGCGACCTGAGATGATCAAGCGCAGAAAGAACACATTGTCGGGTGCAGAACCGCCATGTGCTCGCGGCGCGATCGGCGTCGACGACTCACCCGATAACGTGTACCTTGAATCGCGCCGGTTAAGCCCGTATCACACTACGGTTTGAAGATAGAGAATTGAAGATTGGAATTTGACCAATTGGAACAGGCCAAGACCAAAGATGATTCGTCAAAATCTAAAATCTTCAATTCTCCATCTTTAATCCGTAATGTGACATGGGCTTTAAGACCCTTGTACGTAGAAAAATTTTAACCGTAACCGTAAGAAAACTGACCAATCAGAGTTGATTATTCTCCTTGCATTCGAGGAATAATCGACTGTGATTGGTCAGTTATCTTACGACATTACGGTTAAAAATTTTCCACGTACAAAGGCCACTAGAGAATTCGCGTTACAAAGCTTTAGTCCCAGTCTACGACAGATGATTTGAGCATTAAGCTTTAAAAATTGATCAATCACAGTCAAATATAAGGAAAATAATCGATTAGTTAAATTTTAAGGCTTAAGACTTAAATCACCTATTGTAAACCGGGATTTAGAAGCAGAGTGAACCGCGATAGACGTCGGTGCATTCCGTTTGGAGCATTTTCGGCGCGAACGTAGTCGTACGTCATCACTGTCGATTAAAGAGTAAACTCTATACTTGAAACCTCGTAATTCATCTATTTTTATTAGCCTTGTTTATTAGCCTTGCATTTTGTTTTTTGTATTTTGTTATTTTTTATTGTCGAATTTTGGTACCTCTATATCTGGATGCATAAATATCTAAATATGATGTATTAAAGACAATGTAAATCACAAACTAGATTTATATAATCAGCGTAAAACCGATTTGGTAATGATATTATACTTGATATATATATATATATATATATATATATATATATATATATATACATATATATATATTTAATATATATTAACATATATTTATCATATTATAACATGAGTAATTATAATGTCAGAGTTATTAAGTAAGTTTTATAATGTGTGTGATTGTATAGACTATGGATGTGACTGAACAATTTCAGAGGGCTGTGTATTAATAATACATGCAGCCAATATTTCCTAAACTACATGAAATCGATTCTTTACATTCTTTATTTCCATATCCAGACAATAAATGAATCTTCTGAAGTAAGATTATGATTATTTATCGGCATCGGCAATTGATGCCTGACAGTTGTAAAATAATTTTTTCTTTATATAATAAGTGTTTTACATTATACTATAACTATGTCAGACATTTTTAAATATTTTGAAAAACGAAGAAATTTCTCTACAAGCGATTCTTGCAAAATGGCTTATCGATTAAATCATTTCGACTCAAGGAAGTAGATGATGTAACACGATGTTAATGTCGCTCTATGAAATATATTACACATAAGATGTCCACGCTAGGAATGAATTCCTTCACTTCTGACGTCATCGTCCAAAATGGAGTTACACTCTAGAAAAATCTTAAACCCGAATCGCACATAACGAATTAATTCGATCATTTTTCTATCTTAAATTTATTTTTATATTATAAATGCTAATTTTATGATTGACACTCTCTTTCTGTTTTTCGCTAGATTACTCTAATTATACCAAACATAAAGAAGGAAGCTTATAAGTACAAGTTTTACAAGAAATTTGAATTAACTAAACTTGAATTAGCGATTCGTTATTTTTCCTAAATTTATGGTCCTTCATTTATGATGCGGAATAAGAAAGATTGAAATAATGAGTATCTGTTCAAATATAAAGTAGTAATATTAATAATCTATTAAAAGTAGTAATATTTACTACAGTTTTTCAAAATCTAATTTCTAGTCAGTTACATAACATTATCGCAAACGTAATTTATGTAAAATAGTTAAAAAATATTAGATCTTAAAAATATATATGTTTTAAAGATACGGAGAAGTAGTTAATTTATGTAAAATAGTTAAGAAATATTAGATCTTAAAAATATATATGTTTTAAAGATATGGAGAAGTAGTTATATAACATTCTATTGTGAACATGTTTTATATGTAGATCAACTATATCTAGAATATTAGGTTTTAAAGAGAATTTTTTAAAAATTTATATTTTAATTTAATTTTCTAACTACTTAACTAGTATTTTAATGTATCTTTTATGTTATATTTTAGACAAAATGTGTGACCAGATAAGCGACGCCATTCTGGATGCACATTTGAAACAAGATCCTGATGCTAAAGTGGCATGTGGTGAGTTCCATCAAGATATTGTTAATTTCCTTGAGCACTTGAACGTATGTCTTGTATGTTATATGATATCTATTTATAAATTGGTTTGTTCAGCCTTGAACTAGTTTAAAGCCAGAGAATTAAATTTCTGCATCCACTGCTTTATATCTATCATAAAAGAAATGCTTCCAGGAAACATTTTAAAGACAGAAAACAATTTTTATAAACACTTACTATTAGCACCAATTTTGCTTTGATTAAGTACATATTGAAAGTTACGGTATAATACATATATTTACATATACGCACGCATTATATATACACTAATGTTATTTCATGTTTGATACGGACATAATATTACCAAAGTATTTTTTATTTGTGACAGAAACTGTAACCAAAACTGGGATGATACTATTATGCGGAGAAATTACATCAAAGGCTGTAGTGGACTACCAGAAGATTGTTCGAGACACAGTGAATCATATCGGCTATGACGACTCTTCAAAAGGTACTGCAATTGCCATTGCGACATTTGCTCTTAATTTCAGCAATGTAATTTTACGTCTGTCATTTCCCTTTATTACTTCTGACATTTTTGTTGCATGTGTTAATTGTATATACGCGAGAAAAAAATTAAAACTCCTACATTTCTACGAGAAATCCGTAGCCATATCCGTTGACAATAACACATGCATGCCCTGCGGCTGAATACGTTAGCCAGATCTCTCAGAACACACCTCACATGGTTCCCTTTCATCACACGATCGAATCATGGCACGAAAGATTCAAGAACCAAACATCATACCCCGTTTTCTGAGCTGAGCATATTTTATATAAATAATAAACAGCAACATGTTAGTTTGCACACGAGTACAATGTGTACTGAGGTGCGAGGGTAAAAAGCCAGCCTAATTCCACATACTAATGATAATATCATATTGAGATGTTGGACTTGGAAAATTCCATGCCTCGATCGTTCGGATAGCCAGTATGCTGCTCATTACTTTCTCGGGAAAGATCACCCCAAAAAAGAAAAAAAATCATCGAAGAAATGCTCGAGACTGTGTAACGTAAGCATATCGTAATCGTGGCAGGATTCGATTGGCGTACGTTGAACCTTTTGGTGGCGATTGAACAACAATCCCCAAATATCGCTGATGGTGTTCATACGGACAGGGAAGAGAAGGACGTGGGTGCAGGTGATCAGGTACATAAGCCATTTTCAGCCCGTGCCGCAGAGCAGCTAAAAATAATTCAATATCGACAACTTTCCCTGTTCGTGATCCTTTCCATCCTTCTCTTCCTTAAGAGAAAAGATCAGACGTTTTCAGCCCATTTTCGTTATTGTGTGTGATGGAGCGCGTGTTATATTTTTGTGTGCGTGTATGTACGAACGAGCAGGTAGGATAGCGAATGTGAGAAACCTCCAATATCAAATAAATGTCGGAACATCGAGAAAAGCGTTAATTTGTCGGAAAGAACGACTAGAACATTGGACTCGTATATCCAGCAAAGTGCCGCTGATATGCTTAGGGAATAAGACTGCATGTACTATGTTCCGTATTTTACGTGCGCACGTAAAGTTAATTCTAATGTCACACATGTTAATTCTAATGTCACAAAAGGTCTGCCAGTTACTTCCGTCCTAAAGTGTTTCAAGCACGTGAACAGCATTGAAAAGGCGCATATCTTCGATACTTTCGCCAGTCTTCCACATTCGTCAACTTGTACATGCAAAAAATTGTCCATAATATTATTTTTAATCATGATCATTAGAATCGACTCGACCCGATGAAACTCGATATATTGGGAGGACGGAAATTTGCTGCAAAACCAAGTATCGGCTTGGTAACCGGGCAAAAAGGGTGCTATTGCACGAACAACGGTGGATATCTTTGTCTGATCGCATTGATGATTTCTGCAGGTTTTGACTACAAGCTGTGCAATGTCCTGCTGGCGCTCGATGCTCAGTCACCAAATATCGCGGCAGGCGTTCATGAAAATCGTAGTGATGAAGAAGTGGGAGCAGGAGATCAGGTTAATTAGCATTGCCATCGTTGAGTTTTTATTCTCTTGTGTATTTCTTGTTTTTCTTTTCCGTTCTGTCTCTTCTCGTTATTTACTAGTTTCTTCAGTAGCTTTGTGAATAATATTTCTTACTTTTATTTTGCTCGTAACACACACTAGCTTGTTTATTTTTTCGCTGTAAGAATGTTAAGGCCAGCATACTCTGCCCTTCCTAAGGTAGTGGTTATTCAGCATTTTATTGCGTTACAATGTATCATTACAGATTCACGCACGGACACGTATGTACGTATACGTGTGTACCTCTAACCTTTAGCTAGAATGTCAAATAGGTGATGTGGTAAAAAAGTATGAATGAGTAAATATATTCGAAATGTATATATGTGTAATTAATGAGAAAGTTTATGTGAATAAGCATTATAGCAACATTAGATAACAGTTGAATATTACTGTATTGTACTAACATTTCTTGTAGAATAATTATGACCGTAATATAAATAATGCGGTCCCTCTCGATAATGCCGATTATTATTGAATAATTCATTGAACCAAAAAATTCAATATTGACCAAAATTCTGAATTTAGTTGAGTTTAAAAACTGATGGTTACTAAATATATATATATATATATATATATATATATATATATATAAATACAATATTGTTCGTATATAATTAAAATAAAAATACCATTTCCTGAACACGCGTTCCTAATCCCGGACATTCTTGTTGTTTTGATTTTTAAATATGAATATTTAAACTTTTAAAACACATGTTTGCATACATATATTCTGTGTTCTGAAAATTTAAATATCTATTACTATTATTATATTTAAGGATCAAAATAATAAGAATGTCCAGGATACCAGTAGGTATATGTCCGGGCATTGGTATTTTTGCCTTAAACTTGATCATGATAACTGGTGATTTAGTCGTGAGTTTGACAATCAGTGGTGTGAGTCGACGTGTGCTTGCTAACGTTGAATTTTTTTACTATCATTTAACTATTATTCCTACTGTCGTATTCACGCTACCTTTTTGCTCTGTGTGGCACCTTTTATTGCATGTTAGAATTATCGCTTTATATATTCTTTACAGTTGTACATAATACTATGCACATTTATGCGATAATTTGCGCACTTTACGAGATTTTTCTTATCTTAAGCTAAAAAAACTTTCTTTTAATAAAGAAATAAATAAATTTTAGCTGGAATAACTCGAATTCTTCCATCAGGGTTTAATGTTTGGTTATGCCACCGATGAAACCGACGAATGTATGCCACTGACCGTTGTACTCGCGCACAAATTGAATCAAAAAATCGCTGAACTAAGACGAAGTGGAGAACTGTGGTGGGCTCGTCCGGATTCAAAAACACAGGTTTAGCACTTTCTATACTGTATACCTATCTTTTTCTTCTCAATTTTAGAAAAATATTGGACTGAATTATACAATGATGTTGATTTTGTATTTGCTACTCTTGATGGCCATGATGTAGACATCCTAACTGAGTATAATTTAATAAATATTATATATATTTTTAATGCCCTCTCTCTTTTTATGCTTAACTTATAATTACAATATGTATACATATGTATGATTATGTTCACAATAGGTGACTTGCGAATACATCATGGACCATGGAGCCTGCGTACCCATAAGAGTTCACACTGTTGTAGTATCGCTACAACACAGCGAAAAAATTGGTTTGGACGAGTTACGTAAAGCAATCATGGAAAAGGTTATCAAAGAAGTGATACCAGCAAGATATTTAGATGACAGGACAATCTTTCATGTAAATCCTTGTGGACTTTTTATTATTGGTGGACCACAGGTATAACTAAAATGTCGAATTAAATGTCACATAACGTAACCGAAGCTCATATTAACATGTTTTATATAATGTGATATTTCGCTAGAAACGTTCAGTATTACATTTCAATTAAAGTCCATATTGCATTTTACGAGAAGTTAATCTTATATACGTTACAAACATTTTTTTTTAGAGCGACGCTGGTCTCACCGGACGGAAGATCATTGTAGATACGTACGGCGGTTGGGGAGCGCACGGGGGCGGCGCATTTTCTGGTAAAGACTTTACAAAAGTAGACAGGTCGGCTGCATACGCTGCAAGATGGGTTGCCAAATCTCTCGTAAAGGCCGGTCTATGCAGGCGCTGTCTCGTACAAGTAATGTTTACAGATATATTTTGATTCTAAACAATATATCATTTATGTCGGAAAATTTTCATAGTGCGCAAAATTCTGATTTACATGTTTTAACACAAAGAGAAATGATTTACGACTTACATGTTGTGTATATCAAAAGTTTATTTCGTTCTGTCAGGTCTCGTATGCTATTGGAGTGGCGGAGCCCTTGTCAATCACGGTCTTTGATTATGGTACATCCACGCGCTCTCAGAATGAGCTCTTAGATATAGTGAACAAAAATTTTGATTTGCGACCCGGAAAGATCGTCAAGTACGTATACCTCTTAACATGCATTTTATTTATTCACGATTATTATGTGTCATTGTATACGCATATATACACGCGAAGCATACATTACACCAACTATTATCGCAAGTCTTTTATAATCGTCGTTAAATGATAAATAGACGTATCATCATGAGTACATTTTATCAATGATAAGCTGGATACAAGGATGTAAACAGGCTGTTGTTATAGGGAGCTGAATCTTCGCAATCCCATTTATCAACAAACCAGTACATACGGTCATTTTGGACGAGATGGTTTCACATGGGAACAACCAAAGAAGCTAATCCTCGATTGATGAGAGAGCGTATTTTAAGTTAGTCTCGACGTTTCGCGACTATCAAACGTCGGACATAAAAACGTTTCCCCCCTCTCTCTCTCTAACTCTTTCTCTATCTTTTTCTCACAGTAACCGTGTTATCTCGTCAAATATTACCCGAGATTCTTCAATCTCTGCAATGCCGCAGCCACCGAGTTCGTCAGTTCCTTATGCCAATTTTAGCAGTAGCGAGAAGTGGCCCATATTCCCCTTCCTTCGTGCCATGGAATACCGAATATTACAACGTGACGACAGGCATAGTACAAATCTCGTTCATAATCCGAGACATGTGGATATAGACAGTCATTTCTATCTTCTTTTCTCGGAATCGATTCTTCGAGCGTGTTTCTACCTTACGTCTAATGAACCTAGAGCGCAAGGAAAGGGTAAACCGAGCCTATCGCAAAGAAAACCCATCATAAGCCCATTTGCGCGTTCCGAGAAGCTCTTGAATATCTAGCTTGAGTTGGATAACTTGCTCTGACAACGGCGGATCGACTACGGCCTTGTCGCGGATGCACAGTGAAAGCAGAGAAAGGGGAAAAAGAAAAAACCAACCTGTTGTAGAAAATCTAATAATTTTACGTTTGAGGAAAGTGTATAAACGGGCGCTATTGATAAAAGTTTCCGCAGTGAAACTCCGAGATAAAACAGCAGTCTCGTAGATTTTTAGCGGTATTAGCAGCCTCTCGTGCACGTACATGGAAGATGGACGCTTCGATCCAACTTCGTAAATCAACTTCGATATTTTGAATCGGAGTACAACGGATATAGTACGCTATTAGCATTCGGAAGTCCCGTGTGCTCTACTTTATTTTCCGTTTATCGGTCCATCTTTCGTGTACGTATCTTCATTAGAGTTATTAATCGCTCGAGAGTATGAGAAATATGTGAATTGGCGGCGGTAAACGTGTTCTCGGCAGACGTGTACGTAGCAAAGCAGGAAATGACGTTTCACGAGTTTTACACGAGAGACGATTTCGTCGTAATGCCGGGCCGATCAATAATCGGCAAGAGGAATCGTTGTTGAGCATTTTAGAGTATTTGAAATTTGTCAGAGTAGCAGTAGTTGTAAATTTAGGTTTCATCGGTTTACATAGCTTGCGTGAATACAATAAAATCTGCGAACGTATCGAGTTCGCTCAGTGGAGCACATAGTCGTTTCCCCCTTTGCTATTCAATTTCATTCAGGTAGAACAATTATAACAAATGTCAGGAAAAATCATTAATGTAATCTCGTAGAGGTCCAGCACAGATCGTGTGACGGAGCTCAAAAATTGAGAAAATTTTCTGTTTTCTGGTATATGCATTCGACGTGTCCTTATTGGATTTTAATGGAAAGTTAAAAAAACAAAAAAAGAATTGTAAAAAGATTCGGTCATTTTCTGTCAGAATTAATGTATGCGATTTGTGACGTAGCAATATTGGCAATATGTATAACAGTGCACAAGATCTTCTAAAAGAAAGACATAATAAAACGGATTTTTTAATAAAAATATTTATCTGTCGTTCATTTCGTTTATTACCGCACCATTGTCTAAACGAAACGTATTTAATCCTTAATCTTCCCAGCATTCCGACATGATTTATAAGCAGAGGACCAACTTTGCATTTCCATAAACATTTTCCCAAAGTAAAAACACTGAGCTCTGTCGCACTAGACACTGCGACTGGCTGATAGCTTGCTGAAGTAGCGAGAAATCTTTATATCCATTTGCACGATCATGTATCACTTTCCACTGTTTAACTATGTAACGAGATGTGTATAAACGATTGTAACGTGTGGAATAATCTCTGTAATGAAATAATTCACACGTACATTTTACTTCGCATGTCATGCATTTTGTTACATTATACCAATACTTTTACAATGTATCATAGATGCACATTATTTAAGATAAAAATATGAACATAGGTTAATTATATGTAATAACAGGGATAAAGATTGTAACAGTATATTTATTTGCACACGATATTTCTGATAACTCGAGATATATCTTTATGTCTAAAATCTATATACATCAATTATATACGAACATAGTTATATAAACGAACATTGCAAAGAATACATAAGATATATATACAGATATATAATCTTATGTTATCATTTATATATAAAAATTGTGTCGTAAGAATATATGATGGGTGAAATAGAAGAATATAATTGGTATATCTATACATAATCAGTGTTATCGTTAGAAAACTAAATAGTAATAATAAATCTCGTACTGAACCAGGCATACTAAATAATTTGTTATTTCTTTAATTTATATATATATATATATATATATATATATATATATATATATATATATATTTCAATTTTTCGCGTAATTAAAAAAGTAGCATGTATTATAATCGAATTTGAGAAAAATAAGCACAAATCGTGCTTATTCAGTTAACCGCAATTTGTCAATAGCGATCATCTTTATAACAATTATGTATATTGTATGAAAACCATATTCATCACTGTGTGAAAGTATATGGGAATATACTTCGCCTTCTTTGAACAATATTTTCACAAATTTTACTTACAGCAACTTTCACATACAGAAATGGTCGAACCAAGTAATATTCCTTAATGTCAAACATACAACTGGTAAAATAAGAATCATATAAATTCTATTGCAACGATATTCATAAAAATTCTATTGCAACGATATAAATGTAAAAGATTCATAAACTTTATTTCGCTATTGCATTATTACTTACAAGCCTAGCTCAATTTCAAAGAGATATCTCCGTCTTATTTACGAAGAACGTAGTTCAGTTTGATATAATTTTCTTGGGTGCGTGGATACGACTATGCCTCAGCAGTGAGCTCTTGTCGGTGAAGGATTTTTCGCATTCTACACACTTGTACGTTCTGCCGGTATGGGTAACCAGGTGTCTGCTGAGACCTGACGCATGACAGAATGCTTTTGGGCAGAGCTGACAATGGTGCAGCTGGATATCATTCGGATTCAGTTTTTGATGCCTGCGCATGTGTACTTTCAGTGCTTCCCGTTGCGTGAAACTCTTCTCACAGTGCTGACACTGGAACGGTTTCTGGCCAGAGTGAGTCATAAGGTGACGGAACAAAATCTCCTTTTGCGCAAAGGCACGATGACAGATATTGCAACCAAACGGTTTTTCACCTGCAAATACAGATAAGTGTGTTTCTACACAAATATTTTTACCATAATAAATCGCAATTTTTAATCGCTAGTTATCCTACGGCAAATGAAAATATCCAAGAATCAATAAAATTTTGATAATCACACGAGAGATTATTGATATATTTCAAGGCGTCTAACTAACCCGTATGAGTACGTTCGTGCCTCACTAGCGCGGATCTAGTTGGGAACCACTTTTCACATGCCTGACATGTGAATCCTCGTTGCGTAGAGTGTACAGATTGATGACTTTTTAGCATTATTCTTCGGGTGAACGCTTTAGGACATTTGTCACACTTGAACACTTTCAGTTCCGGATTTGCATCAACTGTAATATGTCAGTTATTTGTAGTAACCCAGTAATGTGATTCTAATTGCGCTTTGTTCTCGACACTATACATTTAATACATTTCAACATTTCTTACCCATGGTATCCGTCATAGGTTGCAATTTTAACGATTCTCCTTGTCCAGAACTATTGCTAGTTAGTTCCATCATATAAACATTCTTGTGTTCCGCATTGACAATGGCTCTCTGTACCTCTTCCGCCTCATCTTCGGATTCCTGCTCTTGCTTGATACGCGTTGCTCTTATTGTACATCGTGCTTTCGCCGTGCGTTCCTCAGCAGGTACCAGCGTGATGTTCTCTGGATCTTCTGAGACATTTTCTTCCATTTCTGTATTTTCTGAATTCATACCTATGTGTTGGATAACAACGAATACACTGTATCGAACAAATGTTTACAAGTGTGTACTTAAATGATATTATTCAAGAAGTCTAGTACATACCCAGGATATAACCCCCAACGAGTTCTTCTTCTGTTACCTCGATAGGATTTCCATCTGTCTGATTGTTGTCACCTTTGACCGCAACCAAATCAGCCAACAATTGTTTCACTTGCTTAGATTTGCCAGTAGTGGATTCCTTCCTGTTGCTATCTTGGTTTTCGTTATCCTGACTTTCTCCTTCTTCGTCCTGTCCAGTCAATTGCTGTATCAGTTTCATATGTTTTCTCAACTTGAGATCAGCAGCCTGACATTTTTTTCTGAATTGATAGGACTTCTCCAACTGATATTTGCAAGGGTGACATATCATGTTGGGCAAACCATCTTGTTCGTAAACCTGAAACATTGTATAGATAAGGATAATGGCAATTTTTTCTAATAATTTTCTTATTATTGAGTCTAAAATGCTCGAAAAAAAAATATATATATATACATATTTCAAATTTGGATGCTTGTTCTCATGATATAAGCATTTTCTGCTTTAAACATCCCATCGAGAAGTCATCATTGATCGAGGGAACAAGGTGCATCGTGCAAATCCCTAAGGAAAGTCGAAGCATTTGCATAAAACGCGTCGATCGCCAGAAAGGGACTCTCAGTGCGCACCGCAATCAATCCGAGAAGCTAATACGCCGTTATATCCGACGCAATAATATTACAGATTTCTATAAATCCGTAGGGTAAACGATCGCGCGCGCGCGCGCGCGCGCGAGATCTCCGCAGAGTCTAGGTCCCTGTAATGAGGCGGCGAAGCAGGGCGCGTACAGGCGTATACCTATCGCACAGCTCGTCGATAACTCGGTAAGGCCGGTAGTTGCTCCGCGCAGCGGCGTATCACCGACATCGCATAGTTGGCACGCACACCGTTGAAGGGGCTTCGCGTGTCGCGTATATGTATACACGCGTGTGCTGTCGAGCGCGTCAGTGTACGCGCTTCGCATCGAAGGCCATGTTGCGCGGCGGAGGATGGGAAGGACAGGGAAGGGAAGGGAAGGGAAGGGAAACGACGCGGGAGGACGCCGTACACAGTGATAAACTAGATTCCTATTTTTCGATGAGCCGTCTCGCGGCTGATTATCACTCGCCGCGATTATCGTGCGACGCGAGAACGATCGGCGACGACCAAGTTCGCGGGAAAAAAAAAAAACCCACCTCGATACTCAGACAGGCGAGTACTCGCAGCGGCAACGGCACAGTCTCGTCGTCGTAGAGCGGTACCATCTCCTCCTCCTTGGCCAAACACAGTCGGCACAATTCGTTCACATGAATGATCACGTTGCTCGGGCTGTCGCCCTTTTTCCTGCTGTACGTTTTCATCGTCGATTTTTCGGTCGCGAAGTCGTTCGCTCGCCTACCGAGTCTACACCGAGTCTATCCGTCTCCCTACTTTGCCCCCTTGCCCTTGGCACCCTCGGCACTATCAGCCTCTCTGTTTCCCTTTCGAATTCGCGGCAAGCGCACGACGGAGTGTAACGTCGAAATGTGACGGAGTTTTCCGTGAGCAGTCGCACTCGCCAGACTCGGGCAAGACTCGGTCACTCACAACGGAATCTATAATGGCGGTTGACCGCCAATGACGAAAGCGTACAGCGGCGCTGACAGTCCGACAACACTGCGCTCCTAGTGGTAGGAGACGATAACTGCGCATAGGAGCGAGAAGGACGAATTTGCCGCTAGTAAAAGGGAAAAGACAAGGAAGGAAACGAGAACGCGTTTGTGAGGGCGTGCTCGTCGAGGCGAATGGCGTCGTTGCCGCACACACAAGAGTCGGTAAGGGCGATTGCGATTATTGATTTTCCATTCTTCCCAACGGCGGGAAAAGCGTGCTCGTCCCTGTGTCTGTCGACCTTTCCTCCTTGCGATGGCAGGGCATTCCTGCCGAGCTAAGCGGCTCTTATTATTCCCGTTTTCTCTCTTTGATTTCGAGTCCCGATGGCGCGACAAGCAAGCGCAAAGGTAACTTTGTGTCACGAGAAGTTGAAAATGCCTGTTGCCTCTCGCTACGGGTATTTGCTTTAATACAAGTGTGTATCGACAGATATCGTAGTATATATATTCAATTCACCCTCTCGAAATATTTCTTTGCCGATACGCCAGATCTAACCCCCTCGTTACCAAGCTGACAGAACTAGCTCTGAAACTTAACCTCTGTCGATTTGGAATCGTCAATAGTAACTATGTGTGACTTTGTAACGCGTATTATTCGTCATTGCGGTCATTCGTTCTTATTGTTTCAGTATTATGAATTACCGCAAACTGTCGCCAACAACGAGATATGTTATATATCGATTATTGAAAGCAGTACATAAAATCTCTCTGTAAAATATTCTTCAAGAAGTTACTGATGTACGACATACCGCTACTCCGGCTTGATGCTGAGGTAATGCAAACATATCTCTTTCATTTAAATAAGTTTCGTTTACATACGTGTCAAGACACATTACAATATTAATACGCATTCTTACACGAGTACATGAGAATGAAGGCAGATATATACTTTGCAGCATAATTGGTTGCCTATCTGCAGGCACTCGATTCCTCTCGAGATGGTAATGCAGAGATTCAAGGGGAAACGATATCGTTAAGGTTATTAGCTATAAACGTCGAACGAAACGAATGTTTCAATAGAAATTCCAAACATGTAGGAAATTGACAGATATTCGCCTGTCCCATTTCAAGAATATGTAAGAGATTTCATCCAATTTGGATGAGGATATCTCTTAAAGTCTCGTTACATTTGGAGTTGGAGACGTTTGAGAAAATTCAATGTTTATTATTGAGATATGCTTTGCATTAGAATCATAGTTAAAGAGTTTGTGGTTAAAGAATAACTTTTAATATTATCTTAGCGCCAAAGTACGTGGCACATAGATAAATATAGGCAAATATAGATTATCCACTGATAATATTGTCACGATAATGTTTCTTATCGTTATTTTATGGAGGTGACTTTGTAGTAGTATTAATAAACACAGAACCAATGATGCGTTTCGCGTTTCGCACGAAATAATTCGTGTTTGTGAAAAGATCGTCGAGCCACTTTGGCCTGATTTATTTTTGTTTGCGTTAGTGGGATACGTCACACAAAGCGTACGATTTACCGGCTGCGAGTGCTGGCGCGTTTTCAATTCCATGACGCAAAATTCTCGACCAAGTTTCGCTAGACATTCGACGGATGCAACTTGTCGGAATTATCCGATGCAGATAGGCAATCGATTTTTCTGTTTCAATATATAGTATAAAATATATAGACTAAAAGCAATGTAATGTAACGCGTATAGTAAAATACACAATGGAAAAAGTTTCAAACATTTTACGACGAGCAAGATACTTTGTTCGCCCGGCGATAAAAGGCACGAGCAACTCGAATTTAAGTCGCCGAGTATCGACTGGGCGCAACTGTTTCACGAAGATATCTCGATGAAATTGCACGTCGCTTTATCGCGCGAAAAGAAAAAATAAAAAAAAAGCATTCATACGGTTTCGTGCATGGATCCCACTAAAAATAAATGTCTCGAGTGCAGAGTGCAATTGCGCGATCAGCGACGCGTCTTTCCGCGTTTCGGCGATTCGCGCGGATTGCGACAAAACTTTCGGAAGCGGCGCGGGAAAACGCAGAAGGCTTTCCCGCAATTGCCAGGAAATCCGCCAAATATTGTGGCTTTCAGAGAGAGGGAAAGAGAAAGAGAGAAGGAGAAAGATAGAAAGAGGGAAAGAGAGCATCTCGGGGGTCGAAAATAACCGCGACATAGGAAGAAGATGCGAGGGGGCAGAACTGTTTTCGGCGGTTCCGGGTGAGAGAGGGGGCCGACGGTTGTCTTCTACTGCTCTCCGGTGCTTTCGCTTTTCCGAGTCCAGTGTGTTTCGCCACCCGAGGAACCCGCGTGCTCCACGTATATCAGCGCGAAGGTAGGTGCCGCGTTCTCGTTGCATCACTCGTCGTCGTCGTCGTCGTCGTCATTGTATGCCACGGCATGGAGATTCAACGGAGATAACGAAAAAGATCGAGAGGAAATATAAAACAAGTGTAAATATATTAAGGACATGTAAGGTCGAGGGCGAGCGGAAGAGGGTCGTGAAAAATCGAGAAGGGTAATTGAATGTCGAGAGTGTGGCAAAAATGTCAATGGGTATCGAAACGGAAATGATCGTAGCGATAGGATCCAACAGTTTATTTCTATTATTATTAGCGGGTGTTTCACCAAGCGATGTTTATTTCATTTAAATAAATAAGAGCACTTTATGCGCGGATCTAAATTAGCTGAAACGCAATCAGTATTCGTCGAGCGATAATTATCGTTGGATAACGTACATCTCTCGTCGATGTCGATCAATTTTTCGATCGTTTCCGTGAGCTTTAATGTAATTCAATACGACCTGAAGGAGAGCGTGCGCTCCAAAGACCAGCTGGGAGAAAAGGAGGGAGAAGTAGAGATTTTGCGGACGATGTAGATATATTCGGAGGAATTTCTAAGCAAAAATAACCGGCGGTAGGCCACCGGTGGCTACTCAGCAGAGACGCGTCAGCGAGAATTCCAAGTTTTCGAGAGAGTTTTGAACAGGTCCGCATTTTCCGTCTTTTTCCGGATATCGGCCAAGTGAGAAACGACGAAGAATGCGATCAAATCGGTCAATGAGAGAAAGAGGTGCCCACAAGTACTTAGATATTTAATGTCGTACAGCTAACTGAAATCAGCTAGCGTTTCTCAAGCGGAAGATTTCGTCGATTGAGAGCATTCGTTTGTGCTATCGTATAGCGTGAATCTCACTTTCGCTTACCGATTCTGCCATTTACAATAAGAGAAACATACAGATACACAAATTCTGTGCACGGAGTGAAAAGATACGATGCACATAAGCAGAAATATTTAGTTATGAGCAGCACAGTTTCATCACCCTAGTTATCTTTGTGTAATGTAATATGTATGATTGACATGACTCGGTTACTTTGATATATCTATGTAATTGATCTAGTCGTGGCAATCAGAAATCGGTTTAGATGATAATTATCATGGATACAGTTTGGTTGAAGCAGCTAGATATATCGTCACTGCTACAACGCCAGTAACTCAGCAATTGTTATGTGGTTGTTTGTAACAACCATATAATTGTCATTATAGTTGTCATTGAATCGGCACCATGAGATCTACGTGTAGGCTAACCATATCGTTTTTCCGTGTACTTACAGTTTTTGAACTAGTTTTATGTTTTCTTCCAGGATTGTTAGTTAAGATTCTTAGATATTCATCGTAGAACCGTTGATTGATGATGTTAGAAGCGAAAGAAGCGCATGTCCAAAATTCTCGCGTTTTTGCAATTCCCAATAAAAATAAGTTTGAATGAAAGAAAGAGCACTTATATCGCTTCAACATACTCTACACAATCCTTCGAAAACTATCCTTTTCCCTTGACAATCATAAAATCAACAGCCGTAAAAATAACATGACAAGCAACCTTGCCTCTTTAATGCCTTTCCTCATGATTTTGTCGCATTTATTTTATGGCTATCTTACAAACGTGCTTGAGCAATCTAAAGTGTTCTTTCATATAAGTATCTTTTTAAAAATTCAAAAAATTGTAAAATTAAGGTCTATACAATTTTGGCTCGTATAAGCTTTAATTCTACAATTTTTTGAATTTTTTATTTGTTATCATTGAGCTTTTTAAATTGTCTTTTTATTCGGAAATGGTACGCAAGAATTGTCATTTTTTGCACCACAATCCAACATAGCCGCGGCGAGTATCCAGGAGCCTAAACTAAGGATAATTTGATTTCTTTCTTAGGTGGGAAATATTGATTGTATCTTTTTTCGAGCTAGACATTTATTAATGCGTGCGTCCCTGTACGAATTTTCTTGGCACGAGTCTAGAAATAATATTCCGTCAACTATGCGATCTCCTTCGCGGCGCGAGCATGCTCTCGCGGTCAAGTAATCAAACAATCTCGAACGAGATCGCTAAGCGTTCCGCAAGACGATAACTCGTGACCCACTTCCCGAAATTGCTCGCGCGATTTGCGATCGATTTGGAATACGATGGCTGTGAGTCACGCGTAAAAGCGAGAATGTACGGTTCATCTAGTCACGTGGATTCACGGCTGTCGCGTCAAGGCGGATTAATAGTCGTAATACTTCACGGCGATTAATTAAACGATTTTAATTGCGTTATTTTAGCGAAACGTGCGCGCGCACGAAATGTGCCAACGTAGACGGACGTTACTTTGGCCGCGCGCGAAGAAAACATCGCAGCTGGCAGTTGGTCAATGTGAAACGAAAGAAAAATTCGCTATTTATTCCTGCGCTCGATTTCCACTCGCGCAGGTGTGCGCGCGGTCATTAGTCGTGAGACGAGTATCTGTGCTGTACGATTCTATAGACACGCGGTCGCGATCCGCGTAGCAGATCTTGGCAGATCTTGCGTGCGAATATCGTAATGATACTAAACAAATGGCGCGCGTACCATTCGCAAACAAAAACACGGTTTGTATTTGTAGATACGGTCGCATTAATACATCGGAATGTTTCTGCTTGTTACAGCAAGTCTCGAGAAGTAAATCGGCATCGAGATGACCACTGAGAAGGCGAAGCTTGTAAACAAGCAATTCAATTCTCCCATCAATTTATACTCGCCGCAAACGATACAAGAAACTTTGGACAGGCAGACTCAAGTTTTGGCCAACGGTGCAGTCGGGTGAGTCGTGTGTTCCTCGCGTGTATTTCGTCAAATCCTCAAACTCCAGTGGGAACATTCCGAGATCTCACGTTACCAAGACTCACGAGCGAGAGCCTCACGACAAGCTGTCGACAACCACCTTGCGTCAATAAACGAGCGTGCAGCTTCCACCTGCGCGATGCACGTGTCGAGATCACCGGGACCAATGTCGGTCGTGCGACGACGCCGCATGAATCAGCCGGCCACCGTCGATTTCGTTCCGTTCGCGACGTCAGTCACCAATGTTATTTTCAGAGAGCCGAATCATCGGCCGGTTAGAAATAAACAGCCGTAGGCCGGCCGACGACGGACCTGCTCGCCGTTGCGCAAAGCCGTGCGCAACGGCTGCATCGCGTCTTCGTACTTGACTTAGTTTCGCGTTTGATAGTCCGCGGGCGCGTGTCGTCGTCGTCCTCCTTATCCTTGCCGTATCTTCGAGACTTGATCCGCGATGATCGCCACGAAGAGGTGACCACCAATGTTCAGATATCCCAACCGTTGAGCGCAAGTCCTCCCCTTTGAGCTTTCAAACAGCTTGTTGACAGTTCGCGGTTTCGCACTTGTCAGTCGTTGACAGGCGAGGAATCTTTGCGGCGCTTTTATGAAGTTCCGATCTGTCAGATCTTCGCTAATGTTGAACCTGAAACAACAGCAACGTCAACGTGGGGAGACGGAGGACGTTGATCTGTCTTCACGCTTGAAATCGCGCTATGAAATCGCGCTATGAAATCGCGCTTATCGAAATACTGATATCCGTCGTGGAACGATTGAACACCGACTCCGCTTTTTTTTCAGAATCGACTTCAACCAGTTGGCCAAGCCAGCGAATCTACAGAATAGCGCGGTCCTGCGTATGCTCGAAGAAGAGGAAGCGAGACAGCGCGGTGGTCAACCTAGTAAGTGAAGAAATTAGTCTAGACTCTATTCGTCTCGAGATCTATTGTCGTCGATAAAATTGCGATGATTCACAGGTGCATATATGTACCTAAAGTTGCCGGCTTTGTCATCGATCGCTGTGGCTGTGTCGCGTCATTTTCCCGAATTAATACCGGTATCGTTGGCAGCGCGTTTTCAATTTAGTATGACACAGTCGTTACTCTCGTTATATCGTGCGAACTGGCCGCGACTCAAAGACGTATCTTTACTAGATTAGCAACACGTATTCGCAAAATGCACAAGCCTCTCAGTCCGCGAACACAGAGCATTGTGTGCCGAGGAGAAGCCACACCTTGTGACCGTACCACGTTAATTCCCCGCGAGAAGAGTCCGATTGGAAGATAAGTTCGTCATTGTTTCCCGACGCGGGTTCTTCAGCTTCTGATCAATTTGCACGGGATGAATGCTCGCAATTTTATCATACCGATATCAGAATCTGAGTTTCAGGATAACTATGCAAACTATGATTTCGCGCCGAACAGTAATGCCGAACCTCTCGGCTTGCTGCAAAATTATCGGGGTATGCTTCTGGAGAAAGCAATACGAAAGCGGAGAGCCTCCGGAAGGCCATTTTTCGCGTCAAGTTTCACGTGATCCTGCCCAAGGATGTCCCTCCCGCTCTGCTCCGGGCACAAAATCAAACCCCACTCCTTGGCCGACCACCAGAAAAGCTCTATAATCGGTAGCTAGCTCGTTTCCGCAATAACGAAAGGTACAGGTGACTCCGCCATAGCGTTAGTAGTTGGCGAGTGTTCGTTTTGGCAGAGTCACGTTCCTCATCTTCGCGGCTGAAGCAACAAAAACTCTCGCGGGGAATCGTATCGGCGGTACGTGACGCATAAGATCCAGGCTAGTTTATCAGTTGCCAGAAAATATGCATCCGCACTCTGTACGTGATTAACGATGCGCGACGTAATCGCGTAACGCGACACGCATGCGAACGCTCAAGAATGATAGATTTCCGAATCGTTATTATTATCGTTCTTCAGATCTCAAGCGGGTAGCTTGGCCACCGCCTCCAGAGGATCAAGACTTCGATTTCGTGGAGCAAGGTCCCGTCCAAGCGAAGGTAAAGCGATGAATAAGTCGATCTCGTTCGCGCACACATCTCCGCGTTCGAGAGGGTCGAGCTTTTACGCCTTTTGTTATTATCTGATCGTCGCACCGCTTCGTCAAGACAAAAGGCAGCGTCCGGCAACAAAAATTACATCACCAAGTATGGAAGACAACGCACGCTGTCTTTTCTCTTGGCAAGACCGCGCACGTCGTGCATGTGTTACACAATGAAAATAAGAATTCAAACGGATATCATTGACGAGTGAACGAAGAAACTCTAGTACAAAAAGTTCCGTGATTATTCTCAAAATATCCGAACGCGATCACTGTTGAATGTCTAGCTGTTGTATGTATTTCTTTTTTAGTAATATCACTTGTTACCAGTTAATGCGATGCTCTTGCTGCATCTTGACAATGCGTGTGTGTGCAACGATGTTCCTTACGTGTTTCTTTCATGTATGTTTCCGATATCGTTCCTGATATGCGTCTGTGTATGCGCCTTGTCTTGCTCGGAAAGTAGAAAGTCTACGCTAATTTGGATAATTTTCTCGTCTCATTCCCCGAGCGCGGTTTCCCTTAATTTTCCATTTCTTACGCTGTAAATATCGAGATAGTCGGACAAAATTTGAATCGCTCTCAAATATGCAAATCACTATATCTCTGCGGTCGTCGAGGCGTGCCTACTGATTCAAATTATTCATAGCTGAAGACAAAAATACGACAAAGCGTTCTCGTCGGATTGGAGCGTCGTCGCTGAAATAATCCGGACAATTTCCGACTCGAGCGAATCACGGTTAAATTATGAGAGACGTTAAAATAATAAAGTCTCTGTCGCGGGAAGGATTCTCATCCTTCTCTTTCCTGCGAGGAGAGACTAGCCGTGACGAAATTCAGCCGTGCGTTTGCTCGAGGCTACAAAATTATTTGTTTTCCTCCGAAAAGACCCGTGGAATCGGTGAACTCTGCTCGTACCAGAGTAGTAGTCCCTCGTCAGGTCCGTCACCTCAACCACCCTCGACGGTCGCACTGTCGTCGGCTCAGAGCGTCGTCCCATCGTCCCCGTCGCCGGTCAGTCCTGCCGGCATTCTGCGGCAGCCCTCGTATTTCCAGCAGCAAACGACCGTTAACAAGGCTTGGGCGCCGGTGACACCCCCGGTGACCTCACCGTTGTCGCAACAACATCCTCTGCCGCCGGCCTCCTGGCCGAGCCAGCCGCAGCAGGAACAGCAGGCTGAGCAGGTAAGTGACGCCGATTAGCCGACTGCACGATACTCCGTCGATGATTTTGGAGACGAGCCGCTCAAATCCTTGGTAAGAAACGGCACGAGTGATGCTGCGAGAATTTGTAAATTTACTTATGATCGATGCTGAAACGTGTGAGCACTTTGTGTGTGGAACGTATTATAACCGTTAGCAGTTTGTGAAATATACTAGTTGTTTACGATACAGAAACGAGAGATTGATGTGTCGTAAGATACATGACAAGGTTTCGCGACGATGGTGTTTCGCAGGGTCGAGCGAATGCGCGAAACAACTGGTATGATTGTGGGTATTTTTGCATGATTACAATAGCCTCGCGAATAGTTTCGACTACAACGAGTCTTATCTTTGGTGCCTTTGGTTTCAGCAACACCTCCAAGATCCCTACGACCGAACATCGCAGAGGCAGCAGCAGAATCAACCTGCGTATCACTCATTAGCTCCTGCGGCGTTCGAGGCACCACCCTCCACTATCGTTCTTCGTCCTGAGCCGCCTATCTCGCAGGTGAATGTCGGTTCCTTCAATTAGCACGAATTGATCGATTCGGCTATTGGACGCGTAATCGGCGATATATGTATATATATATATATTTGCGAGCTCAAATATACGCGGTTTTGATCGCGCTAAAAATAGAGAGGAACGGTAATATTATACGTGTCTTCAAACGTCGCACATAATACCGCATGGTGACGAAAACGCAAGAATTTCGGAGGAACGAGAGAAGTCAAGTACATGTGCGTGTTGTCTGATGTGAAGAAATATACATGATACAATATTTTGCGGAAGTGTTCGTACGCGCTGGCGTGTCTTTGGCAACACCTCAGCCGTTAAATATACGGTGTCCTCGTCATTTCGGCAACATCGATTATACCGCTTGTCCGAAATTTATTTCTAGGAATAACACGAGCCGCTTCTAATCCAACTTGTCTCCGAAAGAATAATGCGTCACCGTGACACAAACCACGAGTCATTCCCTGAAATATTTCTACGATTTTTACGAGATATCGGATCAAATGATCTATACACAAATACAATGCTATTAGTTAACATTTAGTTGGACAGTTCGATCTTAACGTCGGTTTATCCGTAGGTGCCAGCACCCGTGTACCAAGCTCAACCTGCAGCGACCAAGGCCCCGGTGAGCGGCAATATGCGAGGAGATCTCAAGTGGCCGCCGGCGTCCGTGAAAGCCCAAGTGGAGGCGGAGAACCAGGCAAGGGTAGAACTTGCCAAAGGTCCCGCTTTCAGGCCCCGTCGAGTGAACAAGGATTACACCGGCTTTTTCGCGCAGCACGCCCTGACCAACACGTATCCGGGCTACCGGGCTCCGCCGGGCACGCAGTACTTCACTCCGGCTTACCAACACTAGCGAATACCTCCGAGCAATGTGCGAAGCATCGCCCTGAGCCCACCTCTGACGCACTTCCGTAGAATGGATTTTACGTCGAGCGTCGGCCGTCCCGATCGCGACGTCATCGTTCACGGTTGTTCTTCGGTCGGACCGAGCCAAAATGCTCAGGACGCTGTATTCGTGGATCTCCCGAGATTCGCGATAAACTCGAGAAGCGTATGGAGCACAACGTCGTCTCGACGACGGTGTCTTTGAAATTATCACATTGGAAAACATGAAAGGTGATATAGGTCAACGGAAACACTTGTGAAATCGGTCGAATCTGTGCCGTTAAATTTCGTTTTGCAACTTTTTCATTCGGACTGTGAATCTGTGCACAAAAATTGTGCTGTCGCTCTCTTTCAGAACACGGTCTGCTATGTACAAAATCTCTGTTTTATTTCTTCATGCGCTTCTCGGGTTTTCACAGAGAGAGACTTACGTTCCGGATTTCGAAAGTTTCATGAAACTGTGTATAACGGAGACTGAACGGTTGCGCCTCTCGTCTTTGCAGGCCAACGCAAATCAATAACGATTACTACGAAAATCCAATTCCTTTCGTGGCATTCGTTTAATCATCCGGACGTCACCATTTTAATCAAGTCACAGATTTAAGCAAATTCAATGTTGCGATAGAATTAACGTTGCGAACACAATACAGGTTTACAAAACTAACGCTTTGTCATACGAGTCGTAAGAGTGGTGGGTCATAAGCAACTGCTTGAGAGATTTCGAGTGATAGTGGCAGATTGTACTGTCATTGCGAAAACAACGACGATACACTGAGAAACAACGAATGTCCAGTATAACGAGTAAACACAAATCCGTAAGATTAACGATCGAATCGAGTTAAAAAGAGGATGTATACGGAAAGATGACAATGTACGAAGGGTTATCTTGTATATCGAAATGCGACGCATTTTGCAACGTCGCGATTTGACAACGGTCTGCCCGTTAACTAACCGACGAATAATTTTTAATAATGTAATATATCGAGATGTGAATATATAAATAAATATCTTTATCAATTTGCGCAAGTATCATTAATTGTAATATGACGTAATATAGCGCAAAATACGGTATGTATTATACAGATCAAATTGCCGTCAAATTTGTGCAAAACATAAACTTTCGAAACAGTAAGTAGGTAATAATAACTTTTATTTTATTTGCTTTAGATGGATAATACAAGATGCATCTAAGTTAACACTTTACAAAATATTTTTTTACCAAATTTTAACATTATAACAGTATATATAGCATGGTTGCGTGTGTGTGTGTGTATATATGTATACGTATATGTATATATGTATGAATGTATATGTTCGTCTGAATCGCGATCATTAAAAATGCATCGGTCTGGATAAAGCAAAATCAAAATATCTTGTCGTTACAAATGCTTTCCTTCCAGCAGTGCTGCGTATATCATCGCGAGTGTTTTAATATTGTCCGCTGCGTGTATTAAATCCAAAAATATCTTAATTATTTATTCATATACGGTAAGCTATAAAAAAAAACTCTAAGACGAACATGAATATTCACTTTCTTAAACAATTAACGATCGATTTGTTCATTGTCGCGTTGAGAAATTTTCATTAAAATATTAAACTTTCCCTGAGCATTCCCTTTGAACTCGAACACGTTCAGGCATTATAAAATAATACTTCGCGCTTGTTCTAACGATCAGTCGATAAATTCCTAGCGCGAGTAATATTTTAAAATTTTCTCGCCAAAGATATGGATTATGAAAATTTCTATTGGTCACAAACGTAATTTACGTTAATCACAAATAATTTGTTTTATGAGATTCTCACGTACTGTAATGATATCGGCTTATTATCAATTTTCACAGGATTATTAACTATTAGAAAAAAAACAATGCCGCGAGTGATTCAATTCGAATCGATGTTAAGGAGTTGCTGTTTTACTTTCGCAAACTATTTAACAGCAGATATTAGTTACAGATGAATCGGTGATTCGTATATTCATCACGGACTTATTCTATCACAATATAGAGGTGTTCTTCGCATATCGACATTTAGTATATTTCATCGAATTTTTTGTATGCTGGTACATCACATTATTCAATCAGTGATCAGTGACTTAGTTTGTTTAGGCATGCGTCTGTGTTAGGTAACGGAGTTCACTATTTTTTCTTTTTTTTTTGTAAATATCACTTTCTCCTCTATATAATTCGTATTAAATGATGAATTTGTGGATAGGTAGTCACAAAGATAACAATCGGATTGCGGATTACGAAAACAGTGTTATGTTAAAATAAACTTTTACACAAGCGAAAATCCTTGAGTCTGTTGGATGGCTTGTAGCAATTTATATTTTAATCTCTCGCGCGTTTGATAACGCGGTAGATCCAGTAAGTTGAAGCACGTATGTGCAACAGGCAGGAAGCGTTCGTCGCTCATTGGCTGTATCGTTATCTACAACATAAATAGGTTAATAAAATTTCTGAGTGAGGAAATGGTCAAACTCAATTCGGTATCGTTTAGTAACAAAGTTTTGCCGAGATATTTCGTGTGATAAGTTGATAAAAGCAGAAAGAAAAATTGATAGAATAACACACACGTACTCTTAACCTTAGCTACAGAATCAGTATATTTTATTCAGATATATAGTTCTTACCCTGATAGCCTTCATACCCTGTATAGGTATTCGATCGCTGCCTGTTAAAAAGAGTAAAAACTTTTTCTTCTCTTCTAAGGTCAGTTTGTGGAAAACTTGCCAAAAAAGCACAATAGTGGGGTCGTTTTCAGAGTAGCCCTCTTTGTAAGTCGCATTTTTCTGAAGTTGCTCCCAATCATAATTTTCATTACCGACTACCACAGACATTAATTCGTGACTGTGGAAAAGCTCTAATACTTTGCCACCGCACACTCTATGGAAACCTTCGTGAAAAGCTTTGAAATGAGATTCCACCGATTTGTTCAGTATGTAGTCGACATAAAGGTCAACGAACTGTTTTCTGCGAACAAAGACGTTTAATTTTTTTTTAATTATTGCCATTATCAACGCTAACACATATGATGCCTACGTACTTATTCTTTAACGTTACAGGAACTTTGCTACCGCCAGGTATCAATTCAAAGGTTTTTTGTTCGCCGAATGCCTCTCGATTTACCTCGAAATTCAAACTGAATACCTCTTCGAAATCTGGTTCGTTGTAATCAAGAATACTTTGCATACTTCTGTAATTGCAAGTACACATACTCGTTAGATTTACAATTGATAAAACACGATAATCGCACAATCTTATGGAACAAAACGCACGTACCTGGCGATTATTGGTGACAAATTCTTGACGTCGTTCAATCCTACCGATTCCCGTAGCAATTTTTTGTACAATGCCAACGGGAATGGTAAGTTGATAATGATGAAATTGTAGATAGCCAAACCACAGAGAAGCCCAATTAGAAAATACATGACTTCATCCTCAAACGAATCTTCGATAAACCAGATTGTTCTCGTTTCCTCATATTGTTTGAACATACCATATTTAGGATCAAGTATCTCTCGTAACAGAAGCATGAAGAATTCTTTTTTCACTCCACCTGCGTCCTCAGCTTCCTCGTCGTGAAATTTAACCTTTAAAGGAGTTTAAATGCATTTTCTACTAGTTACCAGTTCTCAGAATCTTCAACTGTAAAGCTGTTTGTTAATCTCTGAGATACACTACATATTTTAACGATTATTTACACGCACACATATACAATTGTCTATGTGATGCAATGCAAGATACTCACTCTGAGCGGTTTCTTCAAGTCGTGAGGATCATACTGTGATAATTGCGTTAGAGTATCCGTAACTATATTCTCCCGTGATACATTCAATGTCACAAATTGATTATGGTGCCGCGCGTCTATACTATCCGTGTTCATATGAAACAATATATGCCTAATAGCTCTCGATGCCGCTTCATTCATCGCGGATTGCATCTAACATAACATATGTATGCAATATCACGCATATTAATCGATTGGTCACATTTATAAAGCATTTCCAAATGATCAATGTCGATTTCTTTTTATACCTGTATAGCTTGATCCGTTTCGAGTAATACAGTTTTTGCCTCGGCATCGAGGATAAAAGAGTAATTACAAAAGTATATTTTATGACGCTGAAAAACAGCAAGAATTATAAAGAGTCATTTACATGTATACATATATACATACTCAATAATACAAATTATATAAATTAATACAAGTAATATAAATTACTGGGAACTACCACTGTAAGTGTATTTCAAACGTAATTTTTCGACCAATCTGTTTGAACAAATCTTTTATGAAAATGTCGATTGCCACAAAAAAAAATATGTATATATTATATGTGTATGCGCGTGCGTGCGTGTGTGTGTGTATATGTATGTATGCGCGTGAGCGAAGAAAAAGTTGCTGAGCATCTTTTAGTCACTTACATTAGACGAAGAATCTTCCATTAGCCACTTAAGGTAATCAGCTCTAATGTCTATAAAGTGCATCAGATCCGGTAAGTGAAAGGTTTCGTAAGGTACTCGCATGCCCTCTTTTGTGACATTTTCTTTATACAAAAATTTTAATAAATTTAGAGCAGACTCTATGGCTGTATTCCACTCGACACTCTGCAAGACATTTAAAGATTTTCAAAATCATTATTATACACGTACGCACATTTTTTTCCTACAATCAGTTGCGCGCCATTACTTTGTCCGCCGTCGGTCGTTTCACGAAGTGCAATACGACGTATTTGTAAATCCTCACTAATCTCTCAAAGTAATATGCTGGAGCTTTACTCCACCATTTGCCCACGATAATGCGAGCCTCTAGCTTTAGATCCAGCATGGCCTTGGAGAACGGGTATTGCAGACTGTTGTAGTTCATTGGATCCACGAAGCCATGATACAGTGGCAACGTTAAGTACACTCTTAGGGATTCCACGTCGGGCGGGGATATTGCAAACGATGGTAAAAGACTATCGGTTATGCACGTAAAAATCTGAAATAATGAAAAAGAGTCGTCGTTAAATATAAACAATTCAACATATTGTTAAATAGAGTAATTCTCTCGTGCTGTGTCGGATAAAATGCAATGTATACTACCAAGAGAATTACTTTACATCATGTCAATATGTCATATCTACCAATTCTTGAATCGTACTGTTTTCCAGTTTGGAAATAACTGCGAATAATTTAATTGCACGATCAATGTCTATACCATGATGTTGACCTGAACATCCATAATGCGCGTCATTAGCGCGTAAAAAAGATCCATTTATACACGCTTGACTTCTGAATACAGTCTCTAGATACCTGGAAAGACATTAAACAAACAACTGTGAGGAAGATCGGATCTATTACAATTAGGTATGTACACATTATTTTGTAATTAGAATGCGATTTAAATTCTAACTTACGTAATTAATTCATGATCAACCGGTGATCCAGGTGGTACTCTTTGACAGGCGACTAGTTGTTCCTCCGTCACTGCAAGAATTTGGGAGGTTGACCCTAATATTCTACAGTCATCCGGTTCTATATTATCCTGCAGATGTTGAAGTACAAATAATTTTTTATGCATTATCATAAATACTGCGAGATAGATATTTCATTTCTTTTCTTTCCTTCATTTTTTAAAAACTGAGGAAAGTCAACTACAATTTTAACTAATAAATTTGGTAAGTGAATTATAAAGAAATATATATATGAGAATGAAAAAGGAAGTACACACTTTTCTCAGGGTGACTGTGGTAAAACAGTGATCACCACCGCTATATATATGCTTGACAACGTATTCAGGTGGTTCAAGACGGTTCTGTGAGTCGAGTTTTTCCATCCATGGTCCAAATACAGCTTGTGGTGTCGTGGAATTTTTTGCGATACCGTTACCCAATTGTCCAGCACCACCTAGACCCCACGCGTAAACTCTGCCTCTAGATGGCACTAGAGCCAATGTGTGCCTTTTTCCGCAGGATATCTATATCATGAGAAACGTACGTAAATTAATTAGAAAATCGTGCGGGTAAATATCGTCGTGATAACTTACTTGGGTCACCGTGCTACCCATCAGTTCAATTATTTGTCGCGGCAAATCTAAACTTGTCTTATCCCCGTGACCTAATTGACCATACATTCCAGCACCACAAGTGAACACACCACCATCCTAGAAAACGGTCACATAAGAAGTTTTCTTGTCAAATCTTTCAATCCTCGATGCATGTAATATGATACAGTAAAGTTTACCATTGTCAAGAATACGGAAAATTCTTCACCACATGCTGCATGGCATACCCTTGAATTTCTTAAAAAACGTAACTGACATGGCACATTTCTATTTTGCATATCATCCAATCCCAATTGTCCAAAGGTATTTCGGCCCCATGCAAATATAGCTCCTGTTTGAAATACATAGAGCGTCAATGATGAATTAAATTTATTCAATTAAATTTTTTTCCCTGTTAATGATATTATAAATGATGTTTACCTGACTTCAATATGACTATAGTATGATATCCCCCACATGCAACAAAAGCAATTGGTACAGCAGCTAAACTGTGAACTAATTTAGGTATCAGTTCCATCTTTGTGTCAGATCCTAGTCCTAATTGTCCATCGCTGTTGCTACCCCATGCATATAGTTCTCCATTGTTGGTAAGAGCAATCGAATGCTTCAAACCACATGCAATCTGTACTATCACTTTTGTACCCAGCGTTTTTACCATACATGGTTCATGTACTGTACCTTCGATACGACCTAAGCCTGTAAAATAATAAACAAGTAATAATTACTATACTTATATATATATATATATAATATATATATATTTTTTTATGTATGAATTGATATATAAAATATTATTTTACATTGTACTACTATTTTAGTATGTAATACATAATATTACCTAGTTGACCCTCTGAATTACAACCCCAGCTGAAAAGTTGTCCCCATTCATTAACAACTAATGTGTGAGCAGCCCCGCATGAAGCTTTTCTAAATGCAAATGGACCTATACCACTTATTGGCTCTGCATACAGAATCAATATATTTTAGTAAAAGTTAACCCAAAATTTTGCAACATCTATACATTCACATTGCATTATAGATTTTTATTATACTCACGTAATCTTTTCCTTCCTTTTTCTTGACCAAGTTGTCCACAATCATTATTACCACAGGAATATGCTTGTCCTTCTTTAGTAACAATTATAGTATAGTTATCTCCACAAGCAACTAGAAACATATTTTGTTTTGTGTAGGATTTTTTGCACAATTAGAAATTCTATATGAATAGTCTCTAAAGTTTATTTTTAAGTCTTACTTTGTCCAATTTCATTAGCTTTTTCAAAATTCACTTCACGAGGAGTAGATATTACTTCTTCCTCAATACCACCCAGTCCCAACTGCCCATGTGTAGTGCTACCCCAACCAAACATTTTATAGTCAATTTCAAACTTTAGATATTTTGTCACTGGATTAATCTCCCCTGCCAAATGGCGTTTTCCTGTACAGTTTTCCTACATTCATAGATATATGATTAGATGCATGTGTAATTACATTTGTTCATGGGATAACTTTCATAAGTAACGAGTACTGTTTAGTGTACAGTATTTGTTACTTATGAAATAATTAGTAAAAGCAATGCTACACGTTGCTAAACGATCAAAGATCTATTATTTTTTTAGTACATTTACAGAAACTACACAATGCAATGATTGAACTGCAAAATATGAGTAAAATTCAAGCAATATATACTCTGTAATGAAATGTTCGTAAGAAAAATCAATTGAATGAACACAACAGTTTATTTGACGCGAACTGAATTCCCGAAAATCACGTAGAGCATTCTAATATTAAGGTGTGTTAGTATTAACGCCGAGACTAAGGATTGTGTCAGTGACTAACCATATTTTTCTGTATCTCATAGTACAAGCGTCAGGCTTGCGGGCGGGATATGTTATTTACGAGAAACGCGTGGTATGCCCTAAAAATAACACTTCTTTGTAGAGCAGTGCTTCTGGTGGAGATGATGATGGTACCGGCGTAGCACGGTCACGCGTGAATCGATCTAAATAACAATCAAACGGCATTCCACACGAGGAACGACGACATTTTTCGCTCCGTATGTACATTGCTTAGCGAACTTCGTAGCACGACAAATCCCTTTTTCGGCAAATCAAATATTTTACACGATAGATGCGTCCTGATTACGGTTAACGTGACAAATAATACGGAAAAGCAATCTTTTTTTTTCTTTGAAGAATACGTTGTGAGTGCTATGACTCACGAGAAGTTAAATTATATATATTTTTGTAACATGCTCAACATTTTGTAACGTAGTACTTTATTGCTTGGTGGATCGTTATTTCAAAGGAACAATTAGGAGAAGAGGGAATGATGATTACTGATTTGACACTGGAATATTGAGGATTCTTTAGAAACACGATATAGACGCGAAAAAACGATGTCGTGATGATTTCTTGCGAACTCGATTGTTCGCGATCATTCGAGAACGCACGATGACATTGCGCAAATGCTAATAATGCTAAGCAACACAAGAGTTAATTTTAATTTTTTTTTCCAAATAGGATATACTTTTTTCGCGGTAACATTATCTCAACGCGAGAAATTCTCAGGACGAATTGGCAAAATTAAAACTGATGATTTGTCGGTTATTCGTGCGTGCAGTCTTGGTTAAGAGACAAGCAACGAGAAAGAAAAATGCGAGAAATTGAATAATCTTATTTCTCGTTGGCTGCGTCTTAAAACAATCCAGTCCCGAAAGCATCGAAACGTTGGCTTAAAGTAGTTAGGCAACGTTAGGTTATCTTGGCGATACGTAGCACGACAGTTTAATAGTTTTGCGAGTGTTCGACTATGAGAAAGTGAAAAAGCGCCGTGTCCCGCTCGACAATCACAAAGCGCGATATGAAGGTCGTAATAACTTGGTTCGCTCGTTATAGTCGTGTCTACTTGACTTACATTTTTGCTTGTCGCTTCGTCAGACCAGAATAACTACTGTTGTCGTCGCGGTTACAACAATTGACAGACTTACGACCTTTTAGCAAATATGCATAACGCAAATATGTATGTATGTAATCCGACGAGAAATCTGATTGTTTATGTGTAGTCTTTTGCAGTTGTTGATCGCGCGATCGACAGATGCGAAAGCCATGAAACCGTATAGCATAGGATGTGTTCGAAAACGTCATCTGGACACATATTATAGAACTCTTCGAAATCGATCGGAATAATTCTGTTATCCTCCAGATTTCTATTCTTTTCTAAGAAAAATGGAATTATTCCGATCGATTCTGAAGAGTTCCATAAGACGTGCCCTGAGTGTTCTCCCTCTCTTTTTATCTCACTCTCGTATCTCTTTCATTCCAACACAGCGCTTGAACCTGGGTAACATTTTCGAACGCACGTAGAAGTGCGTCATAAGTCCATGGCTGCGTTCGCTTTGAGCGCTTACATGCTGTAAGCGTCATTCTATCTTTATCGCTCATTATATGCAGGAAAAAGATAGAATAACGCTTACAGCGCCCAAAGCGAACGCAGCCTGTATTGCGTCGTCTACAATGGCAGGAGGAGTAGTAGTAATAAATAAGCAGTAAGTAAATGGTCCAGTCACAATCGATTATTCGTGAATCATGAGAATGGAATTGATCAATTTGCTTACTGCTCATTTCTAATGGTTCCTGGGGTACTATTCCGTACACGCTTACCGACAGCTGTCGGATCGGTAAGCGTGTACGGAATAGTACCCCCTGCACACAGGACGCGGCAAGCATTACCGCGTCTTGTGTGGAACCATTACTACTACTCCTACTGTCATTGGCTTGGTTTAAATCGTACACTTGATACGCGTACTAAAGTAACTTTCTATTAGATAATCTTAATATCGACGATATATATAAACAATGGTATATTAAACTGGTAATACTCATCAACAAAACGTATTGTATTGATTGAATGCGTCGCCTTTGATATGCATTATCGATATTAAGATTATATAATAGAAAATTACTATTTAGTACGCGTATCAAGTGCACGATGTAAACCAAGCCATTGTAGACGACGCATATCAGGGTGCAAATCCATGCAGCGGAATAGCGGAGCGCGGAATGAAAGTGGAACCAATCACAAGCGTTCTACAGATTGCTTCCGCTCATGATTGGTTCCGTTCTCGTTCCGCGTTCCGCTATTCCGCTGCATGGGTTTGCACTAGAGATGCCCGATTCTTAATCGATTCGATTCTTTCCCTAACAAATTTAGGGAAAAAGGGTTGTTCGTGTTGCTTGCATGTTCCTATTTTTCGCTTTTTAAAAGAAATGGACGCCTAATCAGACGCTTGGAAGAAACAATCGAATTGGTTGTCTCGCTTTTGCTTCTTCCAAACATTCCAATATACTTTTCTCTGGTTTTAAATACAAAAACTGCGAAGAGTACAAACAACACGAATAAGCCTATTTTTGGGAAAGAATCAAATCGATTCAGAATCGGGCATCTCTAGTTTACATTCTTATGGCTCCTGCACACAGAACGCGGTAACACTTGCCGCGCGGAGGAAGTTCGCGTGACAGCCAATCAATATGCTGCTTTTCGTAATAATCTTGTAGTTCTCACTTAAAAACAACATATTGATTGGCTATCGCGCGAACTTTCGCTGCGTGGCAAGCGTTACCGCGTTCTGTGTGCAGGAGCCATTAGGGTGCGTTCAGATGGAGAAAAAAATAGCGGAATGGAATAATTACGGAAAAGAGATATGGTGGGGATTAGCCAATCAGAGTAATTCCGTTTTTATTCCGTTCTATTGTTTGGTAAGTAGGTTTCACATGGCACAGAACTGTTACAGAACGGAACAAAAACAGAGAACATTCTAATCTATCAATATTGAAAATTTTACAATTCTCGATGTTGATAGGTTAGAATATTTTCCGTTTTTGTTCCGTTCCGTAACAGTCCTGTGTTATGTGAAACTTACCTATCAAACAAGAGAACGGAATAAAAACGGAATTACTCTGATTGGCTGATCCCCACTATATTTTTTTTCCGTAATTGTTCCGTTACGCTATTTCTTTCTCCATCTGGGGGTCGATTGTGTACCTCGAAACGAAGTGAAAATTACAAAAATGAGCAAATTCATTAGGGATTGACAAATAAAGTTATAAATATTCGAGTAAATTTGCTCATTTTTGTCATTTTCACTCCGTTTTGAGATACACAATCGACCCCCTGAACGTATCCTTAAGGTGCGTTCAGATGGAGAAAGAAATAGCGTAAGAGTGCGTTCCCACTTAGCGCATTACGCATCGCGTAGGGGTGTATATCAGTTGGACACGGGGCAATTGGACACAGTCCAATCACAAGTCGCTGTTCCAAGGGACCCTACAAATGTCTCTAATCACACGGTGCTGTGATTGGCTGTATCCAAATGCACCGTGTCCAAGTGCACCGCTCCCATCGCGTAGTTCTTCGCGGATCAATCAAATCGTCCCATTTTATTGCCTAACTTTACGACGAATAAAATGGGACAATTTGATTGGTCCGCAAAGGACGATGCAACGCGTGACGCGCTAAATGGGAACGCACCTAATGCTCTTACACACAGGACGCGGTAATGCTTGCCGCGCGGCGGAAGTCCGCGCGACAGCCAATCAATATGTTATTTTTCCGTAAGAGCTAGAAGTTTATTACGGAAAGCAGCATATTGATTGGTTGTCGCGCGAACTTCCGCCTAGCGACAAGTGTTGCCACGTCTTGTGGGTAGGAACCTTTATATATATATATATATATATATATATATATATATATATATATATATATATATATATATATATATATATTTATATATATAATTATCTTTCTGATTGGCGTCGCAATGTCCAAATCCGTACATATTTATACCAGCCAATCAGCTGGTCACGTGACCATGTTGGCGATTCTCTTTATTAGAAGTTCTCTACTATAGTCTGATACAGGCTTAATCGTTAGCTTATCCTGTAATTCATAAGAAACTAATCAATTGCAGTAAATCGAAGACTTGTCGGATTGTTCTTTCATTTCGAAGATGCATAGAAATGAGAAAAATACCAGATCTCGTACCTTTCACTTGTATGCATTTTCGAGGTGAAAGAGCAATCTGACACGTCGATTCACAATGTCGAACGCAACTATAATATTCGTAGTTAATGTTCGTTCCATCCCTTCCACCATACGCCGCCGACGACAGATTGAGCGAACGAGCGTGAGGTAGCGGTAGGGCGGGCAGGCGGTGGCGGTAGCGGCCATATTATCAGTGAGGTGTCAGTATTTTCCGAACGTGACGGGATTTTTGGGTGTGGATCATACGATTTCCTGTCTCGTTGGGCTGTCGCGGGTAAAGCGCGAGTGCGAGTGCGAGTGTCAGCCGGGCCGTTGTGGATGTGGTGCGACACACGTGTCACTGGATTCTCGGGAGTGTGCAAGCAAAATCGAGTAAGTATCTACGTCGAGTCGTCCGTCGTGTTCGTCGCTCTCTCGTACGCGTCGCGGCGAATCGTCTCTCCCTTGTCGCAGCACGTACGAGAGAGTAGACAACATCAGACCGACGACAAGATCGACGTCGAACCAAAAAAGCCGGTTAGCAGCTCTCGTCTGGCGTGCCGATTGTCGACGTCGCTCTTGGGCCGGTAATGTCGTTTCACTTTCAGTCTAATTGCGTTCAATTAGTTTTTCTTTTTCATCAGTTATCCGATGCGTGTTCCGGAAAGGAACGGAAAATCAGTCGTTTAACCGATCGATTAGTAGTGAGGCTACTCAGGTAATTCGCGTTTAATTTCAACTTTTCTTTTTTCGTATATATTACAATTTTTGACGTAGTTCGAGAAACAATCGAGAATCCAGGGTGCGTATTAATTGAAAAAATCAGTGCCATAGTATAAACGTCAGTTCGGTCAACTTTCATTTCTCCCCTTTTTCTCTGTCCTTATTTAGTGCCTGCAACCTGATTTACGTTTTATCACGTCAACTGCACTCTTTGTTTACGATTGCATTAGTGGGTCTCTTTTAACGATAGTTGTATCTGGGAAAATTTTCGCGCCAAAACTTGACAGAATTTCGACTTGTTTACAAAAGACACAATAGGTTTGTTCGAGTTGCTTGTACTATTCACACTTACACCTAATGCCTGTTGCACACTAGTGCACCTCATACAATACAAATTTTCCAAAATACGTTCTGAAGGCGTTTTTAGGACGGAAGGATGTCATCAAAATATTTTTAGGACGTCCTTTGAAGATGTGAGCTGTCTGAAAATAGCTAATATCCATTAAGTTTATTCGCATTAATTCAACTTTTTATATTTTCATACTTAGTGCACATTAATTCTTTAGAGGTTCTAAAAATGACGTCATGATTTCCGTTCATGTTACGAGTGTAAATGCAATTCTGATACACTTTTTACACTTGATCCTAACCAAGAGTGAAAAGTGTGTCAGAATTGCATTTACACTCGTAATACGAACGGAAAACATGATACCATTTTTAGAACCTCTAAAGAATTAATGTGCATTAAGTGTGAAAGTGTAAAAAATTCAATTAATGTGAATAAACTTATTGGATATTAGCTATTTTTAGAAAATTCACACTTTCAAAGGACGTCCTAAGAATATTCTGATGACGCTCCTCCGTCCTGAAAACGTATCTTCAGAATGTATTTTCGAAAATTTGTGTTGTTTGGAGTGCACTAGTGTGCAACGGGCATTAGGTGTAAAAGTACAAGCAACTCGAACAAACCTAATGTCGCACGTTGGAAAATGGCCATCTTCGACATTCCTGTGAAAATCAAGTCAGAGTTTATCGTTCGAGACGAAGGTTATTCGATGTTCGATATCCGGCGTGATATGCTCATTGATCACGAAAAGGGCATAAAAAATTGGCAGCTGAAATTTTGTCAATTGAACAAAACTGTTAGTGCGTCGATCAATTGTGTGAGTTAGGAAAGAATAAGAAATCGCTTATAATACTTATTTATCGCTATTCGTTCTTGGCCATCTTGTACTCGCGACACGGCTTCTTGACCTATCGTTAGGCTGTATAGAGGTTACATCGCGTCAAAGTACATACTCGCTATGCCCAGCGGCGTTTGCCGATCAGTCTTGTCGAGAGATCCTTGGATGTTCGTTCTTTTCATCGCACGTGCAACGTTCGAATCCGTCTGTCTTTGTATTGTCAGTATTTATCCGAGAAATTATTCGAGAGTTACATGGTTTTCTTGACTAAAGATTTTACCGAAGAAAAAATAAGATAATCTCTGTGTTATGCGAATTTTATCCTTAATCTATTTTAGGATTCTATGGCGGAATGAAATCGTTGCGGTTCTCGCGGTTATTACGTGAACGTCGCGTATATGATCATCACTCGACAGAGAGTCGCATAACAAGGATTACCGCCGTAAATGGTGCAGCTTCTGTCCGCTTAGGAGCATAACTATTGGGAAGCAATACCGCGTAGTTACTGTCAACGACTCGTAAATCTCGTTGACGCAAATATACAGATAGAAAATCCGTGGCAACGAAGGTTATTCGTTTGGACGTTTAGAGTCGCTGGGCATCTATCAATTTACGTTTTCTTATTGTGCGCGCTACAGTTGGATCTTTTGTGTTATAAAATATCTTCTATATTATATTTTATATACACTATGTGCGCGTGGTGTGAGTTTGAGATTGATTATGAAATGAAACAATCTCGATATGATGGGTGATCGATATGATGCGACAATTCGCTATTAGAGCTTGTCAATGAACGACCTCGAGGAGGATGATTAGGTATTATTAGAGCTATCGAGGACTTGTATTCTCGTTGCACGTTTGTCGGCAAAAACGCCGTCTGATTATCTCGTATATCATCTTGATTCGTAACACGCGATCTTCATGTTATGAATCTTGGAAAGTCGTTGTTAGAATCGAGTGGCATTAATCGGCGCTAAAGTAGAGACAAATCTGTTTAAATGCGACTGATTTCGTATCGGACAAATCGATAACGAATGCGTGGAATGTAAAGAGAATTGTATTAAATTTTGTACTCAACATTAAATGTTTAGTTTTACTATATTTCCCCGGATTGTAAGGATGCGTTTCCGGTTGTTTATTATATTAGGCGACAGATATATTCTATCTATATGTGCGTGGGGATATGTATACTATTTTTGCGATGAGGAGAGCCCGACAAAAGCTGAACGAGATAGTCGCGGTTCAACGAACGTACGTGCCGTGTGAGTCCTAGATAAAAGGGGAATGCTAGACCACGCAACGTACAACACAGACGGGCACTCCTCGCTGCACTCTGGCCGTTCTCTGGCGGATGTCGGTCACGTGGATTTGCATCGTAACTCGATGCGACTCGTCTCTTGTCCGTCCTGTTTGTTTCTTTCGTCTCTCTCTCTCTCTCTCTCTCTCTCTCTCTCTCTCTCTCTCTCTCTC